AGAAGGGCCCTATCGAATACAGTTGGTTGGAGGATGAGCCTGTGTTGGCTTCCCATCAGCCAGTGGGTTTTGTAAACTGATGATAACTAATGGTAGGGAGAGTGATCTTTAATTTAAATATTCTTTATTCCTGGTACTGGAATTGAGTGTTTTTGACAGTCCTGAAGCTTATACTTTTCAAGAACTATGTATAAAGTCTTTAAGCTTATAACTTTTCAAAAGGTATATTTAGGAGAATATCTAAAGGTTGGAATATCTTAAAGGTTAAATTATATGAAATCACTTATTCTGCAGTAGTAGCTTCCAATGTTCTCTAAAGCATGCTTATTGTAGAAATGAAAAATGTCCCTCACAGTGAGATACCCTAGCATTGTGGCCACATACGAGCTAAGCATGTTACTTAAATTTTTGTGGAATAGAAACCAGAATAATAATAGGAACTGTCTCCTGAGTTGTTGATTGGATAAACTGTGCACAGCACTTGTCACAAAGGCACCTTTTAGGGTGCAGGTTCCTTCACCCTGGACTTTCTTCAGTCTCTGTATAGTACATCTGTACTTCACAAGATCTTTGAATAAACTTTTCTGTAATAGTGAGAATTATCTTGTATTCCACGTGCCAAAACCACAGTTGCCAACTGTTGCTTTTTTTTTTTTTCCTAGTATGAAGCCCTCCTTTGAAGTATTAACACAGGCAGATGGGTTAGCTTGTAGATGTATTGTCGTTGACCTCCTACTTATTCCCACTACTATGGTTTGGTAGTGATTGAGGTGTTCCTTTTCCTTGTCTGTTCCCTTGGTTTATAGTTCATATGCTCTTAAATTCTACTTCTTTGAGAGAAAGGGTACAGTTAATAACTTATCTACTTACCTTTCCTGTTTTGGCTTTTCTACATTTTATGATGCGTTTGGATACATTTTAATGGTAACAAACATCTTAAGTTTTGTTCTATACTGAAATGAACTGTGAGTATAAATTAACACTTTGTTAAGAACTTTTGTCAGGCTCTATCAAATTTTTAAATATCAAATCTTTGACAAAAATTCCAGTTGCACAGATTTATGCTATAGAAATACTTTATATGAAAATGTGTGCTTGAGGATGCTTATTGTAATGCTATATAAAGTGGTAAAAGATAAAAAATAATAAATGTACTTCAGTTGGGGACTGTTATGGTATGGCTTCTACAAATAGTGCAATACTGTATAGCCATAAAAAAGAAAAAAGTAGGCATTTGGTCACAGATATATAAGGAGCTGTACAGAACATTAAGAGATCAAAAATTGGGCTGGGGATTTAGTTCACTGGCATAAGCACCTGCTTTGCAAATGCGCAGTCTTGAGTTCGATCCTTGGTACCAAGAGAGAGAGAGAGAGAGAGAGAGAGAGAGAGAGAGAGAGAGAGAGAGAGAGAATTGTGTCATCTACACAAAATAGTCTCCATTTGAATGAAAAGGAAAAGATTTAAATTTACATTTATACTTGAAAACACATTAAAATTTATGGAAAGCCAAATTGAAGACTTTTAGAAAAGTAGCTTTTGTGTAGAGATTGGAACCTGGGAAGATCATCTTTCTTTTCATTGTTAATCTGTTTGAATTTATATCATAGGAATGTTTTCCTTTTCTACTTTTTTAAAAAGCATCTCTGACATGTTAAATATTCTACATTTTCTTCAGTTTTATGTTGCTGTTAATTCATTTCATAATAAATAGAGAGCAGAAGTAACTTACGTTCTTGGCCTTTTAATGGTTGTTTTGGTCTTACCCTTTTAAAAATAGAAATGGGACCCTAGTGTATTCCTTCTGGTCCTATTTAATACTGTAGTATGCTAAAGTACCCTCATTCTTAGTAGGCCCTTAAATGTTGACTGTGTTTGTTAAAAGAAACACTCAATGAAATTTTCTGAAACAAAGTATATATACCCCTATTCACATTCTTTTCACCCTTGTTTAGGGGTCAGCTTTCCTTTTATATTAGACTCATAAAGAAGGATATGACTGGAGTACATAAGTTGTTAAGTGTGTAGGTAAACATTTGAGCATGACAACTGATTTAACTGGAGGGTAAATGTAGAGAAATAACATTGATTAAGAATACAAAAAACATGAGCCACATTCTGATTGCTTGGTTCTTGTGCATTGCTGTACTATCATAGTATTATATTCTAAAAGAGTCATACCTTTTTAAGTGTGTAGCAGATAAATGTAGTGATTGTATGTGTGACTAGTGTATAAACGTGTATACTAGTTTGATTTTGTAAATAACTGAAGATGGCAATGATGTTTTAAAATGTAAAGCTGTATTTATTTGTTGTTTATAAAGTGTATGCTAAGTACATTATTTTCAGATACATTGTTTTTTGTTCATTAAATTACATATATTTATTTTTTTATTTTTGAGATGAAAATAAGTATATGCAAACAATAAATACAACTTGGAACATCAGAAGGCTTGTTTCATTATGGGACACAATATTTTACCTCTTTATTAAAAACAACCATAGACATCCTACATTACATATAGGTAAAAATTAGTGTAGGCTTAAATCTTCATAGTTTTTCTATGAGCACTCAGTTAAATCAGTACTTGTGCTCAATTTCCCTTTTCAGCCATTCTGTCTAAATTTTGTTTGGCTTTATTTCTACCAGTATTTCACACCTGAAAGCTTTCTTGTGGTTAGGAATAATATTTGGGATTTTAGTGGAATCTAATAATCTTGAAATTTTAAATCCTTAATATGAAGGCATAGTAAATTTTTCTAATAATTTGCAATTTGTTGATTGATTGTTGTTTTAAATGGGGCAGTATCTAAATTTGAATATGTATCCACTATAGTTCTGTATGGTTTTTCTCATACTCTTCGAAAGGTAGATCATTTACTACAGAGGAAAATACACAAAACCACATAAAAGGCAAGCAGGCAAGTGGCTTGCAAGCTTGCTGCTGTCTGTGCACTAGAGTTTCCTAAAGAAGGGCTGGGCACTGTCCATAGCATGTGTGAAAGTGCCCTGGGGCAGGCCTACTCACTTCCTTGCTCATTGTGAGGTTGTCCTGACCTTTTGTGTGTTTTTGTAACTGTAAAAGGCCCCCGAATGGAGGCCTTGTGCCCCACTTCATTGGAAATCTTGGCTGTTAATCTCCGGGAACTGCAGCGCCTAGTAGGAAGCCTCTGTGACAAGTGGAAACATAGGATCTACCAGAAACGTGGTTTCGGGGTGGGGGTGGTGGTGAGGGTGGTAAGAATCCTTCAGCCCTTGCTTTTGTCCCCCACAAGCCTAATTGTTAGCCTATGCTGGCAACCAGATTGAAGAGCTGCCCCCTCAAGTGTCCTTGGCTTGCATGCACTTACTCCCACCTTGCCTTATTGTGGTTGGGAGGTGGGAGGAGGACAAACGCTGACAACTATGATTGAGTTCTCTTACCAGAGTACAATACCAACTGGTATTTTATGTAACTGTTTTACACACGCGTGCGCGCGCGCGCGCGCGCGCGCACACACACACACACACACACACACACACGGAGGGAGAGAGAGGGGAAGAATGAATAAAGAGTAAGGGCTGCATGTGAAAAATGCATATTGTGGGCCTTCTCTTTCATTTGGAGCCTGATGCAAACCTGTTGTACCAGATCTGGGCTAGTACTGGCTAGTTAAGTCTAGTTTTTGTATTTTGTATACTTTGTAGTACCAGCAAGTAGTCCAGAGTTCACTTGATGTAAGAAGCCAAGTAATTTTAAGTGTATATTATATGAGAAAGGAGTGGGGCAGAAGTTTTTATAGGTTTTCCTAATAAACATTAATTATCCAAGTAATATTTAGAGATGTAGTAGAAGAAGTAGGACTTGTATATGATGTTTCTTTAATGCCAGTACTTATTTGAACTGACAGGGAAGAGGAGAGAATTTTAAGGCTACAGTTTCTTTCCTTCTCCCTCCCTCCCTCCCTCCTCCTCCTTCTCTCTCTCCCTCCCTCCTTCTCCCTCTCTCTCTTTTCCTCCCCCCATTCTCTCTCTCTGTCTCTCTCTCTGTCTCTCTGTCTCTCTCTGTCTCTCTCTCTGTCTCTCTGTCTCTCTGTCTCTGTCTCTCTCTGTCTCTGTCTCTGTCTCTCCGTGTGTGTGTGTGTGTGTGTGTGTGTGTGTGTGTTTAATTCTATCCAGTTAGGAACTGGTTCTTCAACTTTCAGTGCCAATGGAGACATGCTATAATAAGTCTTTACCATTCTGGTCTGCTGTTTTACTTCAGGTGCAAATGATAGAATATTTTAGAGCTGAGTTAACATGATTAAATAGCTAGATGTGTAATATAAATGACATTTGAACTGTGTTATTATTTTACCATAATGCTGAAAACATGTATCTTGGAAAAATGGTCTATAGGATGTCAGAAAGTTCATGTAAAAGATCAGTTTCTTTTCTCTCAGTGGAGGATGTTTTGCATGTGTTTTGCTTCCTGAAAACTGTTTCATGTGAGCATATAGATTTCTGTACCTTGAATGTTTAAGTGGTTTTGTAGAAACTCCAGGATACTGAGTTTAATAACAATTGATCCTGTTTTGTGGTGTTTGATAGGGTATATTAAGATTCAGTTGATAATAAAGTTTTTATTGGTTATTTAAATTTTTGAAAATGGTATTAAAGGCATTTTTTCCAAAATCAGAATTAAGCAATACAATGAATTTTCCATTTGCTGTGGTTTAAAAAGTTTGTCCACATCTGAACTCCCTCCCTGTGTTTTACCAAATAGTCAACTTCTTGCAAAACTCAAATACTGTGCAATGCTTAGTTAGTATGGTCTTGCAATAAATTTAGCTTTTAATTTGATGCATATTTCTGTAATTGATTCACTTTTTTACTTTTGATATAATGTTAAACAATAGCTATCACATCTACAAGCTGAAATATAACATTACTGGATACTTTGCAATAAACCATTGCTTCATTTTGATTGCTGAAGAAGCTTGAAACTGAGATATTTATGAAATACATTTTGTTTCTTTAGGACATGTCTCAGGAAGGCTATGGCTCTAGATCTCAACCTCCCCTGGCCTCTGGAAAACCCAACCATGAAACAGACTTGAATTTAATACAACAAGAAAGACCATCAAGTTTACCAGTAAGACATTAATGTGCTGATTTGGAAATGTAATGAGTTAAAGATTTTTTCAAAAGAACTGTTGTTTTTATTTGTTTTACTTTATGTTATAACATAAAAAAGACGTTTATAGATTTCAGATATATTTTGTGGTTTGTTAATTTTTTTTAGGGCTTAATTCTTAGGAGTGCTATAGTTGTGAAGAAGTATGTTTCATCTGTAGGTATGTGTTGCAGAGTAGGCATCAGTTATAGAAGGTTTTATTTGGCTAGTTGGTTTTGTATGCAGGCAAGTGTTGCTATTGTGCAGTTGACCTTGTTTGATTTAGCTTTTGTGTGTGTGTGTGGAGATGACAGGTGTCAGTTAAGTGTTGAGACTCAAAAGAAATTCTCACTTTGTAAAGACAAAAATGACATTATAAAATGTGACAATTATGTGAATCATTTCTAGAACTTTCTATTTGTATAAAGAGAAACCACTCAACTAATTTAAAGTTTGACAAAGTGTACCGTAAAGTATTTCCACTCGCAACTACTATGTCATGGTTGGAATATATATATATAAAGAATAATGGCTATACTATAGGGTCTCATGGTAATACCCATTAATAAGTACCCTATGCATGATTTTCTTTTTAAAATAACGAATCTAATTTAAATGAAGTTTTGTTAACTAGATTAAATCTTACAAGTAAATATTTTAACATTTGTTTGTTAAAATATTTTGCTTTGAAGAATTATTGTTAACTGCTTAACTTCTACTTAGGTTTGCTTAGGATATAAGTTCAGGTTAGTATGGTTTTACTTTAAAGTTTAACTGTGCACTAAGTAAAATTCATTATTTTCCTTTTAAATATTTGAGCAAGCATTTATAATGGGTGTTATACATGACACATAGCATGCATATTGACACCCATTTTAAATTGTATATGTAGCCTTAGAGAGAAGGAAGGGGTGATATTTGCAAGAAGTTCATGATCTTTGAATCTGATATACCTGTTTTTGTAAACCTAATTTTTATAGGTTTTATTTCTGTGGTATGAGTGAACTCTTATGGCCTTTTAAAAAAGTTGTATTACAGTACTGTATAGGTACTTAGTTTTTGAAAGGATGAAAAGGTAATGGATTTTGTGTTATAATGCTGTAGTTTGTTTTATTTAAAGTAGATAATTACTGGCTGATCAGCATGTAGAGTGTGTAGCACACTTGCATGCTGTTAATAAATGCAACATTGCCAAATATTTGGAAGCTGGCTTCTGGTTTTATGCAATTTGTATTGATTCATGGGAAGCAGATGAACAGTGCACTTTTTTCTCCACCTGTTTTTTAGTGTTTTTGTAGTCTGTCTTAGTAGGTTTGTTACTGATTGCTGATTTGTCTTGACACAAGGCAGTAAATTTGTTATAAATTGATAACTATTAAATGAATATGATTTCTTCATGTTCATTTAAGAACTTAAACATCACTTGTTATGGCTCTACATTGAAATGTCTGCTTGATGTTGAGCTAACTTAGAGCATAATTAAGGATGGAATGAGATGTTGGAATTCTAGATAACTGAAGACTTCAGTTCAGGGAAGTTGATTATTTGAAAATAGGATGAAAATTTTCAGAGTGTAAAACAGTACAGTTATCAATAGTTGAAATTTTATCTGAGTTATTTTATGTCTCTTTTTGTACATATAATGACTATCTTCTTAATGATTACTGTATCTACTTCCAAAGTATATTTAAGGTTACTCAGTTACTCATAATATAGCTTTCCTTATCGGACTATTAAAAAAGAAATGCTCTACAGTACGTGGGATTTGTATTTTTTTTCTTTCTTAATTTTTTAACTAACAGACAACTGGTAGACTTGAATCCTATTTGGGTGGGGGATATAGGGTCTTGCTGTTTAGTTCATACTAGCCTTGAACTCACTTTGTAGTCCAAGCTGGCCTGGAACTCACAGCAGTCTCCTGCTTCAGCCTCCCAAATGCTAGAATTACAGGCATACACCACTATACCTGGGATTGGTAAACTTTTTTTTAGAGAACAGTTTCTAGGTTATATGGCAAGTATATAAGGTATCAAATATTGAATAAAGGACAAATAGTAGATTAAGTGAAGCACCTAAGCTCCAGTTTGTTACATGACAATTGACTGCTTGAATTTTTCTTCACCGGGGCTTTGCATGTGCAAAAACCCTACATGGGGTTGCAGATACAGTTTCATAAATGTAGATGCTCCGTTCATAGGCCACTCTATGTAATTAAGATAATTATAGCTTTAGGGAATAATCTGTTGATATTCTGTTAAAGCTTTAATACTTTGTATTTTTAAAGTGATTCTTTTATTAAATATTTTAGTCCTTTAATTTGGCTAGGTTGATAACTATACAAATTGTGAATTTGCTGTTGGAGCTTTTATAGATTTATTTTTAGGCTATGCATTCAAATGTCAGTGATACGAATTTTATTTAAAGACAGTCCTTAATATTTGTATTTCTAGTTTATAACTAAATTTTTAAGTCCTAGCTGAATCTTTGTAAAAATATAGTATGGTAATTCTAACGTACAGTTATTAAGTCTTTCCATTACATGTGTGACTATTAACAGGTATGCTTTTTAGGTATTTCTTGATCTTTTTTGCTTACATTGAGATAGATTTTATGTTTTCCATTGTGTCATATTTTTTTAAAACAGGTTATCAACTTCATATAAGAAATCAAAACATTACCAGTATTCTTTTGCTAGATCTATAATACAGTCTCTCAGTAAGTTGTCTATTTACCATGGTTAGGCCTGGGTTTTTATTATATTTACATGCCATAAAGTTCTTGGTGGCCTTTAATAGCTAATACAGTTGTGTTTTGTAGCTGACACAGCTGTATCTTCATAACTCTTACAAATAACAAAAGACTGATAAGTTAATACTTATTTCCTTGTCTTGGAGCCATGACTGGTATTATTTATGTTTTGCCTAATAGGTTCAGACCTAATCTCTGAACACATCTTCCTTAATGTTGTCCACTTATTTCTATGTCTTTTAATCAGTCATTTCCCTGTTAAGATGAAGTATATATATATATATATATATATATATATATATGCTTGATATACCTATTATCAATAAATCTTTGCATATAACATTGTAGTATAAAGTTAGCTGGAAGAGATTTTCTCCCAGTTTGACACTGTCACTTAAAATCTGAACATTATTTCATAGTTTTTTTCTACCTTTAATACTAGTAGGAAACAAAGCCAGAATTTAAATAAGACAGTAGATCTAAAAGATGCCATAATCTTTTCCCTCTTTCATTTCATAAGCATCATATATATCTCAGTGTACTAACACAACCCCAAAATATGATGTAGTGTGTTTTTTGTTAAATCTCCATCTTCTGGGCATTGGTATTTTTTATTTTATTACAATTATTTTTATAATTCTCTGGTTTTAGATGTGGATCTTTTCATGGTATTTATTACATTTATTAAGTTTCCTAAAGTAATTTTTTTTTTTGTCTTTTTCATTTTACTGGTACCAGGGATTGAACTCACGACTGCCTGCTTGCAAGGCAGGAGCTTATGCTTCTGAGCTAAATCTCCAGCCCCTCCTAAAGTAATTTTTAAACAATTCTTTCCCCAGTACGGTTCAGAAATCTATTACATGAGTGTGGAGTTGACATCAGGAAAGCCTGTGTCTGTGTTGCTAATGATACAAGATGATATATGAATGAGAGAGCTGCATTGTCAAAACATTATTATTCATAAGATTATTTTTTATATCAAATGGCATTTAACTCAACTTGGTAACCTTAAATTTCAAAAAAATTGCCATTTTGAATAACAAGCTAAAAATAGTATGAAAACATTTTGCTTATTAGTTTTACTTGTAAAACTTGACAGAAACAATAATTATAGCCCAAATAGGTGTGCTAATAAATTATTTATAAACATTTGTAAAGAAGATAGAAAACTGAAGGTTTTTATTTTCTTAAAAAAAATAAGGGAATGGAAGAGTTTTTCCTCACTTTGGAAAATAATCTTTGGGCTGAGGTATAGGTTAGTGGTAGAGTGTTTGTCTATTGCAGATGAAACCTGGGGTTGAATCCAAAGCAGATAAACACACACAACTAATCTGTTTTATCCTTTGGAGAGGAACCACTAGTTTTGCAATTCAGATGGGAAAGTCATGATTCTGTTTACCCAAGTTAGGGTCAGAGTGGCTGTCATGTCTTAACAACTCTTGTGAATGAATTGCTGTGTTGGGGTTTTATGGAATGTCTGTAAATACTGGCTGTTCTGGAAGTTTATCAGGTCATTAATAACTTTTTTCTGACCTTTCTTTCTTACATAGGAAATAACTTAAAGAGATCAACATGAAAAGAGTTATCTTTCTTAGATAAATGTGTGGAATAGTGTTTGTGGCACTTGTGTTGAGTTTGCAATTAGAAGGGAATATTGGGCTTTAGATAAAATGTATGTTTTACAGCCATTTGTGAAAGGAAGGAGGTAGTAAATACTGGTAGTTCTTTGAAAAAGAGGGTGTTAAACAGGATATTGGAAGTCTAAAAGAAATTGGTTGGAAAACTATTATTACCAAGAATACTTTTTTAAGGAAAAAGGAATTAGTAAAATTGTTCAGTGATGTTTGCCTTTAGTGAGAGAATGCTATTCTGGTTGAGGTTTTTTTTTTTGGTTGTTGTTGTTTTGTTTTGTTTTAATTTTTAAGAAAATATTTATTTGAGGTGAAAGGTCACGTACTTTGGAAACAGGAATACTGATGATATATTAATAAGGACATTTAAAGTGTGTAGAAATTATTAGGAAATGTTAGATGAAGCAACCTTTTTTTTAAAACTGGATTTTGCCTTTCACCAAGCTCTCAACCTAACCTGTAGAAATATAATTGTTAAGACCATTTTAACCCGTTTTGGCAGGTTTTTGCAAAAAAGTTAAAATCTATCAGACAAATGGCTGCTGAATGAACTCTTTTGAAACTTATTTGTAGCTTGAACTTGATTTAAATGGTTGTCAT